TGCATCTTTGGAAAACAAAAGAAAGTCAGTTTTACAAAGATTGGCAAGACTCCCAAGGCATAAAGGTTAGAATTGGTTCATACTGACTTATGGGGACCATCCCTTGTTCCATCTCTTGCAGGCTCACTATATTATGTCACCTTCATCGATGATTCAACAAGGAAGGTGTGGGTTTATTTTCTGAAGAAGAAATCAGAAGTCTTTGATACCTTCAGAAAATGGAAGGCCATGGTGGAAAATGAGACTGGTTTGAAAGTCAAGTGGTTGAGGTCTGACAATGGAGGAGAGTACAGAGACAGTAGTTTCAGAGATTTCTGCACAAACAATGGGATCAAGATGGAGACAACAGTTCCCATAACACCGCAGCAGAATGGCGTAGCAGAGCGCATGAACAGAACTCTGAATGAACGTGCCAGAAGCATGAGGATACATGCCGGATTGCCCAAATTTCTATGGGCTGAAGCTATCAACACTGCAGTTTACCTGATCAACCGTGGGCCCTCAGTTCCTTTGGATGGCGGAATACCAGAGGAAGCTTGGAGCAAGAAAGAAATAAACCTTTCACACTTAAGAGTGTTTGGTTGTATTTCTTATGTACACATAAACTCTGCTGAAAGAAGTAAACTTGATGCCAAGTCCAACAAATGCGTCTTTGTTGGTTACGGTGGTGATGAGTTCGGTTACCGGTTTTGGGACTACGAAAATCGAAAGATCATCAGAAGCATAGACGTCATTTTCAATGAAAATGTGATGTACAAAGATAGGTCAACCGCAGAATCAAGTAATACCGAAGCTGAAACAAAGGAATTTGCTGAGTTCGAGGATATTTCTGGAAATGATGTTCAGATCAATCCTGAAGCAGTTCAAGAAGAACCACACACACCAGAACTGAGACGCTCCTCCAGAATTCCTAAACCAACCCAACGGTATTCGCCTTCTTTGCACTATTTGTTGCTGACTGACAATGGTGAACCAGAGTGCTATGATGAAGCAATGCAGGTGGAGGATTCAGTCAAGTGGGAGTCTTCCATGAAAGATGAGATGGACTCGCTTATGTCAAATCAGACTTGGGAATTAGCTGAATTACCACCAGGCAAGAAAGCGCTCCATAACAAGTGGATTTACAGGATCAAAGAAGAACATGATGGGAGAAAACGCTACAAAGCAAGATTGGTTGTCAAAGGTTTTCAGCAAAAAGAAGGTATTGACTACAATGAAATTTTCTCTCCAGTCGTAAAACTGTCTACAATCAGACTGGTGTTGAAAATTGTAGCTGCGGAGAATTTACATCTCGAGCAGTTAGAGGTAAAGACAGCTTTCCTTCATGGTGATTTGGAGGAAGAGATCTATATGAGGCAGCCAGAAGGCTTCATAGAGGCAGGAAAGAAAAACCTGGTATGCAGGTTGAAGAAGAGCTTGTATGGTTTAAAACAAGCTCCTAGACAGTGGTACAAGAAGTTCGATAGTTTCATGAGTAGCAGTGGTTTTACCAGATGCCAAGCAGATCATTGTTGCTACATCAAGAGGTTCGACAATAGTTTCATTATTTTATTGTTGTACGTTGATGACATGCTCGTTGCAGGCTCAAACATGCAAGAGATCATAAACTTGAAGCAAAAATTGTCAAAGCAGTTTGCTATGAAGGATCTGGGCGCTGCAAAGCAGATTCTTGGGATGAGGATCAAGAGAGACACAAAGTCGGGGACTTTGATGTTATCGCAGGCTGAGTACATCAACAAAGTACTCTCCAGGTTTAACATGCAAGATGCTAAACCAGTAAGTACACCTTTAGGTGTTCATTTCAGACTCTCCAAAGACCAATCACCAAAGACGGAGGAAGAACGTGCACACATGGTGAAGGTGCCGTATGCCTCAGCAATTGGAAGTCTAATGTATGCCATGGTTTGTACCAGACCAGATATTGCTCATGCAGTGGGAGCTGTTAGCAGGTACATGAATAATCCGGGCAAGGTACACTGGGAAGCAGTCAAATGGATCCTCAGATATCTTCGGGGTACCACAAACAAAGCACTTTGTTTCAAAGGTGGAGATATGATACTGACAGGCTATGTAGATGCTGACTTAGCCGGAAATGTCGACATCAGAAGGAGCACTACAGGGTATGTCTATACTCTAGGAGGAACTGCAGTGAGTTGGGTTTCTCAACTACAGAAGATAGTTGCTCTCTCCACAACTGAAGCAGAATATGTCGCTGTTACGGAAGCCAGCAAGGAGATGGTTTGGCTCCAAAGTTTCTTGGAAGAGTTAGGCAAGAAACAAGAAAACAATATCTTGTATTGCGACAGTCAAAGTGCTATCCATCTAGCAAAGAATCCGTCTTTTCATTCCAGGACAAAGCACATACAATTGAGATATCATTTTATCCGGTCTCTTCTGGAAGATGGGATTTTGAAACTTGAAAAGATTAGTGGAGCTCAAAATCCGGCAGACATGTTGACAAAGACGGTGACTACGGACAAACTGAAGTTGTGTTCAGCTTCAGTTGGCATGCTAGAATAACAAGACCAGACATGCTGCTGCATTGATCGAGGTGTGAAGACATATTAAAATCAGTCTTCAAGTGGGAGATTGTTAAAAGTTTCAAAGTTTGGCAACCAACTTTGGAAAATGTTTTTTTCAAAGTTTGGTATATGTTTCTTTGAAAAATGTTTTTCAAAGTTTGGTAAAATTTTGGTAGATGTTTGTTGAAAATAGGAATGGGTAAATTCACTTTAGTCATTGCACTTTAGGGTATTTTCAAAGATTAGTCCCTAAGTTTCTACTATAAATACCCTTACCCATTTAGCTTCAAAATCATCCCAAAACATTTCTTTCTTCCTATACTAGAGAGCTTTCTTGTGAGTAGTGAGTGTTTTGTAAACACCTGTAAATTTTCTCTCTTAGTAAAAGATCTGCAGCAGCCCGGAGACGTAAGCACAATTGGCTGAACTCCGTTATCAATTTTCGGGTATTATTTTTCCGCTTTTATTTCGCATTCTCACTAATCTGGTTATAGGGAAATTACTTGTACTCGGTTTATTTTCCTAACACTGATAAACAAAACCATTAACAAGTGGAGCAATGACGTACATAAACTGAACACACCAACGACTTCGAGCATTAAAACATGGAGGAGAGAAACTTGAAGAAGAACCAAAATGATCAATGAAAAAAGCAATCTCCCATTAACAACAATCCCATCCAGCACATATATGCGATAACCAACGAACCGTCTTGTACAAACGAACAGAGGAACCAAACATCAGGAAAACAACCAACCATGTATCCAGTGAAAAACAAAAGACCGATAAAAAAACCAATAAAAAACCTGTACCAAGAGTCTAAAACATCGGTAGCCATGATACCCTTTATTAGAAAAAAGGTAAAGAAAAATTATTATTGAAAATACAATAAAAAAAACTACAAATGACATGGTGGTGGCCGGAGAAGACCACCACCGCTGCCATAAAACAAAAAAATTGTAAAAACTGCCCAGTAAACTATGTAACTTACGCAGCAGAGCAATTTGAATATTAATTAAAGAGGTTATTTTTGTTTAAATACTCTTTTAATCAATTTTTCGTAAATAATGTTATGTTAGTCCCTACAAAAAGAATTAGTAACCATTAGTCCGAATTGTGCTTTGCCAAATCTCAAAGTTTTCCCACATCCAAAGTGCCAAAACCCTGCAATAAGCAATCCAAAAGTTGCAGATTCGTCCTTTAATTTCTTCTTTTTGACAAAAGTTGTCCCTGTAAGAAACCAAGCCACTTTAGCAGAATCAATGTGATCATTATATATCTAAGCCCTCATCCCTTGTTCTGTCATGCACATCAACCCCATCCACCGAGTTCTCAATCATCATGCATTCCGATCACCAAGTAACGGTCCCGCATAATTATCGACGTTCGGCCTCTCGGCTAACAATATTCTCTCACTTGTTCGGGATTCTAGCTTTCATCCTCATGCTGGTTTGGTTGCTGCATTATCGCGGAGGTATCGAGTACGGTTCATACGACGGTTCTCGAGTTTTCAATGTGAGTAAAAAACCGAACAATCTTTATACGTTCTTCATTAAATGAGTTTCAACTTTTAATCTCATGCCATGCACATGCAGGTTCACCCATTTCTTATGTTCTGTGGATTCATATTTCTCTCCGGCGAAGGTAATCGGTAAATTAATGAAGACTAATTGGATTTTCATTAGAGCTTCGTACTGATAACACGAATTATTGTCAAAAACATGCAGCGATGATGGTGTACAAGACGGTGCAAGCGACACATATGGTCCAGAAGGTGGTGCATATGATGTTTCAGCTCGGGGCATTTGTGCTCGGAGTGGTCGGACTTTGTTCTGTGTTCAAGTTCCATGACATGTCCAACGTCGAAGATGTTTACAGTCTACATTCATGGATTGGGATCGCCACTATTACTTTGTTTGCAGTACAGGTAAATCGAGCCGGAGATGAACGTATAATTTTATGCAACTATTTCGTTTATATGGTTTGATTTCAAATATCTCCGTGTCGGTGCAGTGGTTGGCGGGGTTGATATCCTTTATGGCTCCTCAACCGGAGGTGACAAAGCACAGCCTGCTTCCGTGGCACATTTGCGGCGGCCGGACACTGCTATACATGTCGATAGCGGCGGCGCTCACGGGGTTGATGGAGAAGGCTACGTTCCAGCAACTGCAAAGCGACCGGGAAGCTCGTTTGGTTAATTTCTTGGGGCTTTTCATCCTGTTGTTCGGCATTTTTGTTGATCTCAGTGTTGCTCTTGCACGTTATGTTTGATCTTTGTTCTCTTTTGGGGTGAATTTTTTACGATTTGATTGATGTTGTATTAATATTTTATAATTATATTTTAATTAATCAACCCAAAATAAATAAAATACAAGAGAATTTTAACAAATAAAGCAGAATCCAAAAATAAAAAAAGAGCTTAAACTGGCAATAAAATAGAAGAAAATTTAAAGAGAAAAAAGGGGTGTTTAAGCCCATTGTTGCTTTGTAGTTTGCATTCTTTCCAGCAAACCGGCAATCTCTGCTTGCATTCTTAGTTTCAATTTGTAGTAATCACAGTGTGAATGTTCCAAAACATTTAGTTCTTCGATTTTGTTCCGTCGTCTTTCCTCGGTCTCGTGTAAACAGAGTTTCGATAGCTTCTCGGCGTACTCCTCTTCCAACTTATCGGATTTTGCCTGGATCATCCTCCTGTAACTCTCGACTTCTCTCAGTGCTTCGCCTGCTTTGCTTTGGAACAATATTGCTTCTGCTTCCTTGATCCTTATAGCACTTTGAGAGTGTCTCCTTGGTGAGATCAGATCTCCTCTCGAGTCGGCTTCAAAGTCGAACTAATTCTTCCTTCCTCTCGGGTGTTGCTATAAGGTTCCTCAAGTATTCTTTGGTCAATTCAAGTGTTTCATCAGGCAGCTCCTGCATCATTAGAGCCACGGCAGGAATCGACTCGAAGACAATGTCGAGAAGCATTCTTTCCTAATCTTCCTGGTTCTCCTTCCATCCATACTGTTCAAAACTCTCCAATTCTCTGTATCCCTCCTCCTCGAATCCACCGAATGATTATCGACACACGGCTTAGCGACCAATTTCGATGGGAACAATGAATGATTATCCGAACTAGAAGTCCTATGAAGACTATTGCACGAATCCTTATTCACATGCCGGTTAACCTGCATCATAACACCAGCACCAGCCAGAGCAACTCCATCACGCGTTATAAACATTGTTTTTATGAGGGAGCATGCACGTGGGTTGAGTTTCAATTGTTAAATAAAAGGTACACTATCAATAATGAACATTTTCACAAATAAAATTAAAATCATATTAGCTACTAATCAAACCTACACATAATCAGTGTTTCGTTTAGATGGAACCGAAAACGAAAAATATTAGAGCTTTAAGGTAAGATCGAGTGCAGATGGATCTGTTCCTGGTGGTGATGCCATTGCTACAAATCCTATATTTGAACTTTGAGCCGTGTCCAAATTTTGGTCGGTGCCGGCTCTTTTATCGTCGTTCACCTGCCTGAAACTCCCGGGCCAGAACAAGTCTACATCATCATCTTCCATGTGCATTGGGATTCCGAAATACCCTTGATCAAACCGTGCTCCGGTTCTCTCATCTATCAGCCTATGGCCGGATGATGGCATGGTTCCTTGGTGCATGGCGGAATGAGCTTCGATCCCGAGGGACCGGAATGTTGAGCCGTGAAGGGGCAGAGATGCTAAGCTCGTGTAACTATAGGATAATATGCCTATCCGCATGGCACGCTTTGCCATTGTCCGCTCCCTCTTGTGCGCATTCTGGTGTCCCCCCAATGCCTGCGAGCTATAGAACTTGCGCCTGCAGTAATTACAAGAGAAAACCCTCGGCGTCGTCTGGCTGAAGTGCAGAGTCAGGTCGAGGGAGACCGACCCTGAGTCCGGTCGACCCTTCGAAGGACATGAAGCAGTAGTCATGACGTCCTTCGAGGGATCGGGTGATGCAGATACGTCGGAAACCACTCGGTCGGGTAAATCAGGACGTTTTGTGCCTGTCCCCTTTGGTATCCTGTATGGATTGCTACACTACTAATAAGTTACCTCTTCAACACCTGCAGTACATACCAGAAAACAATGGATCATTTGCTACACTACTAAATGTACGCTATCAATTGATTACGAAAATTTCTGATCAGATATTATATTATAATCATCCGAGTCTCAGAATCAACCGGATTATACATCTATCGAAGTGAATTATACTAAAACCCCAAGCTGAAAACAGCAGCAAATTTAGGAAAAAAAAATAACACTGCAAAAGCTGGATTCCTGTGAGATGGTGAAAAAGATTCTTACTTGGAATGATATAATACCTTGTAAGCTATGTGTGCTTCTTCTTCTTCTTCTATTTTCTATCACAGACAGTACAGTGATTGTTGAAGAAGAAAAAGAATGTTAATAAATGGGGATAAGATTACCAAGCAGGGGAGAGACAGACAGAGAAATAAAAAAGAGGTTTATAGAGATGGGTACGAGGGAGCAAAGTCAGAGAATTCACAAATCCAAAGAGAGAGAAAAAAAGATATTACACTTAACAAGTGTGTGTTAAATTTTGGGCTGTTCCAGTGTTCCAATAACCTGCAATTCAATGAGTGGAGAGAGAAAGTGAAATATTTTAGTATAAATTACATATTTAATACATAAATTATTAATTTTGATATATTTTCAAATTAACATTTACTTTTTATTTTATTTTAGTATTATTCCGTTAAAAATTTATCGCGTTTAGCATCTAAACTATCAATTTTGGTCCGCTTTAATACCTAAACTTTCAAATTTTTCAAAATTTAATGTTGAATTTTGAACATGGTAATAAAATGAAAAAAAATTAAACTTTAGGTATGATTTTAAAAAAATTAAAAGTTTAAGTACTAAAACAGACTAAAATTGATAGTTTAGATACTACAAAGTTCATTTACCCAATATTTTACCATTCACAACAAAGAGGTAAGCAAAACAATACTTTTACTGTGATTCTCTTCACACAGGCCACAGCTCATTTAACATGGCTAGTCAATTGAATAAATTATAAGTAAATTATACGTTTAATATCTAAATTATCAGTACGTTTTGGTATTTAAATTTTTAATTTTTTTAAAATTATATTTAAATTTTAGTTTTTGTTTCATTTTAGTATCTCATTCAAAATTTAACGTTAAGTTTTGAAAAAAAAATTAAAAATTTAAGTACTAAAACAACCAAAACTAATAGTTTAGGTACTAAACACATTAAATTTTCAATGATGGATACTAAAATGAAACAAAAACTAAACGTTAGACATGATTTTTAAAAAAAAATTAAAAGTTTTGGTACTAAATCGGACCAAAACTGATAGGCTAGGTACTAAACGCGTTAAGTTTTTAACGACGAGATACTAAAATGAAATAAAAATTAAACATTAAGTATAGTTTAGATACTAAATACATAATTTATCCTAACTTTTTCTTAATTTAAAAAGTTGTTTGTGGTCAGATTCTTCTTCCCATTATCACTCCACAGCATTGTCAGATTCATTGCCATGCTCACTTATGGAATTTGCATGGATATGCACCAATCTAGCCCATACATTTTGGCCTTTTTGCTGCTCTGCTCCTTCGACTTTTATGAATATCACTTTGGCATAATTAAAAACATTATCCTTTGTTTGTGGAAGGGAATATAATGTTATGTATGTTACATGTACATGATTAATCTGATTCAGATGATCAAATCTACAAGATAAGCTTGCTTGATGTTTCTATTCAGCAGTGGGGGACAAGAATCATAATGCAAAACAAGTGGTAAGTGGACCATACTTTCTTTTTAATTTTTCTCTCTCAATATTTCTTTTAACAATTACGTCGATAGTTGATAATTCACTCTATTAATTTGGGTGGAGAATCGTACTCAATGGTTATGAATAAGACTTCCGGATAACTCCTCCGCAATTAGGACTCCGAAAAAACATCTTCATACATAGGACCTCCGAAACCTTACATCTCTCGAAAAGTCATGATCTTTTGACAAGACCAAGTCTGAGCTAAAATCAATTAACAACTAACCACATCAACTGGGTCTATTCACCATATCAACCTACAAATAGTTATCATGATTTTACACTAGACATTAACGTGAATAAAAAGTCAATATATAAACCTTATACTATATGAGAGAGAGAGGGGGGACATTCTTCTCCTTTTTCATCCTTTCTCCTTCATCTCTTTATCACTTACATATCGATCAGTTGTCGATCGATCACCACTAAAGAAAAAATAAGATAACATATTGTTAGTGAAATATAAACACCATCAACACCGATATAAAAATGTATACAAGTTTCATGATAAAATACGAGTAACCATCGTTTGATCAAAGATATAAAATATCACTCTCCTAAACAAATGAAGAAGAAAAACTAAAAAGAAATATAAAAAGAGAAACAAAACCTAGGATATTTAATAATGGGGGTTCCACAAATAGCCCATTAAATGGTCCATGGATCCAGTTGCATTGCCTGGGTTCGACCCCCTTTGAGACATCTACTTCGATTAGTTAGATTGATTACAAAATATTGTCCAAATGGAACATATATCTTCTATGTAGTGTCCTCCTCTATTTCATTAAAAGAAAAGAAAAATGCTCACACAAGTTGTGCTAAAGTACAAAGAATGCATGATTTCATCCATGTTATGATTGTTTCTAGCAACTTGGTATCTGGTTTTCATGATATTTCAGGGTTGTCCCAGTTGTTATGTCTGCTTCAGCAATTTGGGCATTGCATGACCTAGCTACAGCCAAATGTTTTTGTTTTTACCAAGTCACGTACAAAAACCCTAACCCCACATAATTGTACATGTCTGTTAACTTTTATATTGCCTTAAAAAAATTACAGACTCTAACTCCACCTTGCACAGGACACAAGGCGAGAATCAGAGTGGACTTTTAATAATTCCAAATACCCATTAGATAGGTAACACCTCGATTTCTATGTTATACCATTAAAAATAGGCTAGATTGAGCTTGCTTTGGGTTGGTCTTGAGCCTATTAGGACTTAAAATGAGTGTTTTTTGTTTGGGCTTGGAAAGAGGAGGACTAATGGAGAAAATAACCCTTCCTTTGTCTCAAAGACTGACTTCAATTCAATTTTAATGATGCCATGGGACAAGGAAAGGGGAAAAGCTGAGCACTCTCTCATATCTCATTTTTCTCATCAACTTTATTTTCTTCTTCACTTTCAAAACTTATCCTCCTCCTTGTGCTTAAGCAAAGGTGAAAACTTGTTGATTCTCATTTCTTAATCCAGATTTGTGAAGGTAAGAAGTGAAATCCTTACCTCTCAAGCTTCTTTTCAAGTTCTTTCTTCTGAGTTTTGGCCAAAGAAAACTAAAATTATGAGTTTAAGATGGGTTTTGTGATTAGTGAAAGTTTATATAAAAAAACGGATCAAAACTGGTAGTTTAGGTATTAAATGTGTAGTTTACCCATTTATTTTACTCGTGTGTCATGTACTTCATCACTTGTAAATTTCACCTTTCTTGTCACCCATTGAATTTCTAGTTAAAAAAAATGCCATTTTTTACTACTTTACGAAGTTATTATGTAAGAATGGCACAAGAAAAGTTCAGATTAGTACAGTAATTTTCCAAAACCTCTATTTAAACCTTTGTTTTCTTTCAGCATTGCCCATCACTCCTTTGTTACAAAGAAACAATGGCGAAACTTAGAATCCTTTTCTTCATAGGCATCGTATTTGTTCTCAGGGAAGTTGTTGAACACACTGTACGTACATATATGTATGGTTAGCATTTGGTAAATGATGTTTCGGGGTCAAAACTCGCAGTGTCGGCTTGTTCGTTTAATATTCGTTTAACATTCGTGAACATGTTTGTTTTTTTGCGTGTTATAATAGGGAAAATAGTAAAATTACACAATTAGTGCTTAAACTTCTTATGATTCATAGTTTAAACTCCAAATTTCATCATATATTCAATTTAGTATGTACCTTCACTAATATTAAAATTATAAAAAGATAAACGAGCTTCTAAACGAACTTTTGAACGGGCTTATAAATGAGTTTGTTCGTGAACATAAATGAACCAAACACATAAATGTCCGTGTTCGTTCGTTTATTTAATGAACATAAAATATTTGTTCATACTAACTCGTTATTTAACTTAATTATCATTCGATTATTATTACATTTTCTTGAAGTTTTATAACAAGCAATACTTCGTGGATAACTAATTTCTTACAATTCAAATAAATATTATGTAAAAGCACACAATACACAAAGTACATAGCACAGATACTCTGCCCCGGGTGAATCGAAAGCGCAAGGCAGACTCTATTCGGACTATATGATGGAAGTTGAAACAAACCAAAAAGAGTTGGAGATTCAATTTCTTTTAATGGATTTTAATGACACAATCTATTATAAGTTGTGCAGTTTTGCCGTTTTGGTCGGTTATTGCCAGGGACACAAAGATAACCACGATTACTCCTTGAGCAAGCTGCCATCGCCGTGACCGCGTTTCGGGTTCTTCCAGTTATGCCGCCACGTGATGTCGGAGGTGAATCCCGGCCGGCCTGAGACGGTGCATTAGATGATGCATGTCCCATTAGTCCCGCCTTGCTTTGTCCATTTCCATCTTCTGCGATTCCAAGCATTGGATCAAGATAATAACAACATACAGGGACGATCCCAAGATTATTAATAAAAATATAAAGAAAATACGTAAAATATAAGATAATTTAAAATTTTCAAAGAACGAATGAAAATGATTACGTTACCTTGAACCTCGAATAAATTACGAGAGGCTGTTCCATAGGAGAAGATGAGGACCGATGCCAAAACACAGCAGCAAATGATGAGACAAAATGAACGTTTGGTTTCCATAATTTTTTCAAACCAAATTATTGCTTACCACTAGATGTTTTCAAGTGACAATCATGCTGCTTATAAATGCATGTATTCCATTTTAGTATGATTTGGGCTAGTGCTTCACCTCCATTATTGTACACGTAAAGTCGACGTTAATGTCGTTTTCCGACTACATTTGCACATAAAATGCCTTTGCATGTGTTGACCTAAGCTGACCGGTGACCTCCATTGCGGTGTGAACGTAACGCATAGGCCAGACGTAGCTTTAAAAAGCAATTACTTGTAAAATTCGGAGAAGCATGGCGAGACTTTGACAGGGTATACTTTTAACCTTAGTACTCCTTTCGTAGGGCATGCATGTAGGGCTCGGCTACTTGCAAATGTTAGTAAAGATAGGGTAAAGTACACAAATGGTTCCCGATTGTAAGGTTGTTGCTTTGTTGAGTCATCTACTATTAAACGTTAGAAAATGATCCCTCGACTATAGGACATTATTTTGTCGAGTCCTTTGACTATTAAAAGTTACAAAATTGTCACTTGACTATTTATATGTTCCAAATTCGTCTTTTTTCGTTAAAAAGTTAACAGTTGTCTGAGTTTGACGTTAATTTATTAACTGTGATGTGATAAAAAAATATCCCCCGATATAGTGTGTTGTTTTATTGAATAAACATGCTAACGTCTAGCTCAGACGATTAACAAATTTTTAACGAAAAAATACTAGTTTGGAATTTATGAATTGTCGGATGACTATTTTATAACTTTTAATAGTTAAATGACTTAATAAAATAATATCATATACTTAAAGGATCATTTTATAACTTTTAATAGTCGAGAGACTCAACAAAATAATATCATATAATCGGACATCATTTTAAGACTTCGTTAAATAATTTCCCAAACGGAAAGAAAAAAATGCGTCAAACGAGAGCACTAACTAGTGGATAATATAATCCAGCACACTAAACCTCGATTTTATATATTGATAGGTAAATAATTTTAGGTTTTCTATCAAAAAATTATGAAAAAAATATCACATCATCGTAACATTAAAATATTAACGATCAAGTGACCGAAAATTGAACTTGAAAATTTTATGATTATAATACCAATTTTACATGGTTTAATAATGAAATAGAAATATGCTCAAATTTTAATGATTAATGATATAATTATCTATACAAATAGAGCTTAATATTTTATAATATATGAATATTAGGATTGTTAAAGAGAGAAAAGTAGGATGGCAGAATGACCCGAACCCGACGAGAAAATCCGAAACCCGGTCAAGATCGGGTCGGGTATCGGAGATTTTTTTAGGTTCGGGGCAAGGTATCCCCGCCCCTCCCCAAATATATATATATAATATTTTTTATTTTTTATATTAATTATATATAATATTTTATATATTTTATATTAATTATATATATAATATTTTCGGGTTCAGGTATAATATTTCGGGTCGAGTTCGGAGACAAGACAAAAAAAAATCCTCAACAAGGTGCCCCAATAAAAAACCCGACAAGGATCAGATCGAGGACGAAGCGAGCAAAACCCGTTCCGAACCCGCCGGTTGCCATTCTGAAGGATTAAACTTCAATAAAGATTGGCTCCATAAATGTGGTAGACTTGAACCAATATTCCAAGTCTTTGTTTGGAAGTCAATTAAATACGGCATGGTAGGCCAATGCAATTGAAGTTGTCTCCGTTTTTTTTTTTTATTTAAGATGAAGATTTATTCATGCAACGCTAAAATCATTATTCTTTAATATTTTTTTCGATCACTTAAGACATCGTCGAACTCGTTTTTTCGTCTTCTTCTACTTAATTTGTTTAATTTTTTTACAAAAACACTTTAAAATTTATGAAACCAGCCCAACCTCTGAAATTCGTGAAACCCTAAATTGCTATTGTGCACAATATCACCATTTGATCAGCGTAAACTCATAATGTACAACCCGCTTTCTAGGGGTGGCAATTTTACCCGCATCCAAACGGTTCCGACCCGATCGAATCGGATTTTAAAAAAAAACTCGGGTTTGGATGGAGGGTGAAAAAACTCTGACCCGATCAGACCCGAGAATAATAATGTAATTCCCTTAAAAAATTATTTTTAAATTAAATTCTTAATTTATACTGGATCGGGTCGGGTCGAGCCGGATTTATACTCTAAAAATCAAATCGGTTGAAGAGTATATATTTTCGGGTCGGGTTCAGGTGAAGGGTTTATATTTTCATATCGGTCGAGTTGACCAAAAACCTGACCCTAACCCGATCTATTGCCATCCCTACCACTTCCTCATTCTTTACCTCCCTACTACTAAAATCTGAAATAAGATATTTCATCGTTGAAAACTCAAAAAGAGATCATACAATTTTCATACAAACCGAAAGTTTTGAAGTTATTTCATGATTTTTGAAAGAAATATATACAATCATAAAGTTTTTGAGAAGATATCTAAGAAGAAAACATAATATTATAACCATGGTGCATCCAAATAATATTCTAAAACCGATGGAGGTTCCTTTATTGAGAGCTTTTTCAGGTATTAATGTCCCTGTTTGGTGTCCTTGAATTCACTTGACCTGAGGTGTGAGAGGTTTCCATGGCACGCCAACCAGGTCCTGGACATGACCTACTTCCGGGTACATGTGTACATGGACTGCCATTACCTGTAGTTGCGTTTTTCATAAATTGAAAATGATCATATAAAAGCTTAAATTAGCTATTACATGTACAAAATTGATAACATTACCTGGACCTGGAACCGACCGTTTCTGACAGACTATCCCATGTGGGAAGAAGACGAGCCATGCCAAGAGGGAGCAGCAAAGGATGAAAGAAAACGAAGGCTTCATAATTAGCTTCTCCCAATGCTCAGAGCAAACGAAAAAATAACTAATATTGTGGCTATTTTACCATGTGTTTTCATATGACAGACGGTGCTACTTATAAATAGTGAGCCAGTTGTTCAATTTTCTCACCAACCCATGATTAATTGGGTTGGTGTGAAATTGCACTGCAAGACAGAAATTGTCCCTCGTCCGACATAATAATAAGGATGTGCTTATATTTCTTCACTTCACCATTTGCTGTTTCCCGCTCTGATGTGAACGTAATGTGCTAAGTTAGAAAAATAGTTTGTAATATAGGTGGGTAAGCCCAACCCTAGCCCTAGCAGGCTAAACTCTCGAGATAACGTTCTCGAACAAATTATTTCACGAGATAATGCTCTCTCAGGATTAATTGCTCAAATAGGGTGAAATCTACAGTGTTGATCGTAGGTCGCCATGCTATCCGGGTGACCTACTAGGTCGCCATGCCATCCGGGCGACCTACTAGGTCGCCATGTCTTCCCGACGAGCTATGAGAGAGATTGCATGTTCAATGCATGTTCCAACACGCTGGGTATCCGAGGCCATCCGACCGAGGGCATCCGATCGAGGCTATCCGAGCGAGCTATGCGAGGGCATCCGAGGGCAAGAGGAATCACGCGAGGAGCAGGAGGGAGTGCATGGCGACCTACAAGGTCGCCAGGAGTGCATGGCGACCTACAAGGTCGCCCGGAGTGCATGGCGACCTACAAGGTCGGAGTAGGTCGCCCGGAAGGCATGGCGACCTACGGCCAACACTGTAGATTTCACCCTATTTGAGCAATTAATCTTGAGAGAGCATTATCTCGTGAAATAATTTGTTCGAGAATGTTATATCGAGAGTTTAGCCAACCCTAGCGTATTTGGGATGATACCTAAACAGACAAACCCCAACAGTTGTGCCCAGCATCCTAGAAAAAACATTCATCAATACACAAACAAATACGGAAATAATGGATCCCCTTGAAGAAGCCCCTGGCTCCCTCAAAATACCCAACAGACCCACCATTTAAGGAGACCGGGAATTTAGTAGAAGTGATACAAACTTTCAATTTTTTAAAAACATACTTAATGTTTAGTTTTTATTTCATTTTAGTACTCGAAGTTAAAACTTTAGTATATGTTTCATTTTAGTATCTCTTTCAAAATTTAACGCTATGTTTTAATTTTTTTGAAAATTTAGGTACTAAAACGGATTAAAACTAATATTTTAGATACTAAACACGATAAGTTTTTAATGGCGGATACTAAAATGAAATGAAAATTAAACATTAAGTATCGTTTTGAAAAGATTGAAAGGTTAAGTACTAAAATTGATAGTTTAGCCTAGATTTTTTCTTCTCCATTTGGTTGACTGCAGTGCCCAACGCTAACCGAGAAAAATAGTTTGTAAATTCGGAGGAGCATGGCAAGAGACTTGAGTGGGTTTACTTCGACCATTATATTAGTATTTGTTCTGTATCTCTAATGCCTTAAATTTTACAATAAACTATAGCATTGGCCGTTAAAATTTAAGGTATTGGACCACTAAAATATAAAATACTTTAAGTTTTCACTATTTTTTTAATAAACCTTTAGTATCATGTGTTAACATGAGGACAAAAAATATTATTTTTTATTTATTTTATATTAACAGATATATAGCGAAGTACATTTCATAATTCGGAGTTCTTCTACGGAAGCTGCTCTCAACCTGATATTGGGGACAACCTATTATCTTACCTCCCCTTACCCCATTACATACGGGAACAAGGGACAGCTAGATATATAGTGAAAGTATAACAAATTTATATCTCTTCTGGAAAAAAAATGATTAAATAAAACTTGGGGATTAAGTCCATTGGGAGTCTTTCTGTAATAATAACATGAAATTGTTGGGGACTAAGTATGTGTATATATATATATATATTTAGTGGCACGTGTCACAATATGATAATTTAGAGAGAGAAAATTTTAAAATTAAAAATATTTTATTTTTGAAAAAGCCTCGATCTTTTCTAAAATATTAAAAAAAACTCTCTGAATCTCTTATTCTAGTCCCTTTTACTCCAATTGTCGGTCATCTCCGATGATCGATCACCCATACGTCGCTGATCACCCACTGACCGATCATAACCCATACTATCATCTCAAAACCCAAAATTTCCAAATCTCTAAA